TCGACTTTGAGACATTCCTGCCCATCCTGCAGCACATCTCCCGCAACAAGGAGCAGGGCACATACGAGGACTTCGTGGAGGGGCTGCGTGTCTTTGATAAGGAGAGCAACGGCACGGTCATGGGCGCTGAGCTTCGGCATGTCCTTGCCACCCTGGGTATGCCCGCTGGGCAGAGACAAGCCCGAGTCGGGAGGGGCGGAGGGGGGCGGTGTCACGGTGGCATAGGTTGGGAGTATGTAAGAATCCCTGCATCCTGTGGATCACATTCTGACCCAGGCCCTTTCTCCCTGGGCTCTGTGGGAGTAGCAACCTTCCCCAGCTGGGTTTGCTCAGCGGGTACCAGGGTTTGTGAGAGCAAAGGAGAGCGGGCTGGCAGAGCAGGGGTGATGACTGAGGCCTGAGAGGTGGGACCCGGCTCTTCTGTCCTTGTCTTTGCCTCAGCCACTGGGGCCCTGGGGCCTGTGAGGCAGAATGAGAGGTTTCAGGGACCAGGGAGAGCCTTAATACCCCTGGGCCCACCTTCCAAAGCCCTTGGAGGAGGCTTGATGTGAACCACTTCCCAGATCCAGGGAGTCTTGGACCTTCGGACATAAGGGGGCACTTGGGTTTTGCCTGTCCCTCCTTCGTCATCTGTAATAAAGAACCCACTACCTCCCACCCCCACCCCAGGAGAGAAGATGACTGAGGCTGAAGTGGAGCAGCTGTTAGCTGGGCAAGAGGATGCCAATGGCTGCATCAATTACGAAGGTATCAGGCCACGTGTCGCTTCCCAGGGCACCCAGGATGGGAGGGTGGGCGCAGCCTGGGCTGGGCAGGTAGGTGTGTGCATCAGGGGGGCTTTGGTGGACTCCCAGAGGACGCTGCTCTTTTCCATCCTGGGAGTGAACGTCCTGGTGTGATGGAAGGAGCATGGGTTTTAGGGACAGTGCTGTGCTGTACTAGCTGTGTGACCTTGATTAAGTCACTTACCTTCCCCGAGCCTCAGTGATCTCGTCTGAGCAATGGGGGTGGTGTCGGCACCTTTCTCAAGACTGTGGGGATTCATAGAGATAATGTAGCTCATTTCCTCTAAATGGAGTATCAGCACAAAGAGTGGACACAGCAGAGTTTAGGTCTCTTTCCTTCTTCCTCCTTCTCCCCACCAGCCCCCAAGTGAGAAAAAAAATTACAAAATGGAGGAAAGGCAGTGGGGAAGATGTGAAGTGTAGAGAAGGGGGACGGGGCTGGAGGGGAGAGGGAAATAAAGAGCTGAGAGGAGGTAAGTCCAGTAGCTGGTTTTCATCTTCTTTCCTAGCCTTCGTCAAGCACATCATGTCCGGCTGAAGGAGATCCCTCCAGGGTGAGTGCAGCCTCTCCATCCTGGTCCCTTCTGGGGCCACACAGGGGTTAGGGACAGCATCGCATGCCCTAGAAATCTTCTGCCCCAGGCCTGGCCCCTTAAAAGGAAACCGATCTGGTTTCCTGGCCTCGGCCTCCTCTGGTTTCCTCTGCCCCTGCTGCTCCTGCCGCCTGCCCTCATTCCCTTCCTGCCCGCCTCCTGCCCTCCCTCTCTTCGCCCTG